TTATTGTAAATTTATTCTTTAACAATCTTAAATTTAAGGAATTTAATTTAAGAATGGTTAACAGTGTTAAAAAATATATTTATTATCAAAAATAGCATATAAAATACTTGTAATTTGGTATAAGTAGAAAAATTCTTTAGTAGTTATGAAGAAGGATTTGACGAAGATTAATGTTAGGATGAATTTTGTTAAGGTTTTGATAGTATTATTTTCGTAAAATTTAGATTATTTAGAATAAAAGATAAATATATAGTAATAAAAACAATAATAAAAAGAACATCTCAATTATTATATTTTAAAGTATATTAGAATAATAATTATATAATCTTATTTATAATAATTTAAAATATTTTAGAGTTTTATTATTAAGATTAAAAAATATAGACTTTATCATTCAAGTTAATGTAGTTATCATTATAGGTGGGTTCCAATATCTACCAATAGAATAGAATGTAAGGGAGGAATTATTAGAACAAGGGAGAACTCATGGGTGGAGGCAAGAAGAATCAAGAAAAGAATACGGAGTAAACATCCACACCTAGAACTAGCAAATGAGGACATTTTACATCAGACATCATCTTAGTCTGACATATATTTTGAATATTATATTAAAAAAAGTTTATCTTAATTTAAAAAATTTCACCAATTTTTTTTAAGTTAAATACTTATTAGTTTGACTAAAAATAAGTAAGCTTATTTTGTATTAGTGAATAATGTTCAAGACAAGACGTTAATGAAAATATCAATCAATTTATTAGAGGAAGACATAGGAAGAATATGTATTAGATTATGTTGCAATTTCTTTCTAATAATATGATAATCCGTATTAGATGTTTAGTTCGCATGAGATCAACAATATCAATGTACTTTAATTATCACAAAATAATATTGATTGTTGTAAGGAACTTGAAGGTCGTAGAACAAATAATTCATTACAACTAATATATGATAGAAATAAGTGTTTTATACTTCATATTTGATCATGATCTTGAAACAACATCTAGTTTCTTAATCTTCCAAGAAACCAAAAACTTTCCTATAAAAAAATAATATCCTATAATTGATGTACGAGAATATGCACGGGTACCCCAGTATGCAAGACTAAACCCTTGGATTTGAATTGTCAATTTCTTGCTAAAAAATAGAATATTTACTAAGACAACTCTTTACATATCTAAGCATTCTACTAGCAATCATGAAATCATGAAATGGGCTTGAGTGGGTAATAACATAAACTAACTTAGTTGTTTAGTAGTATAAACTATGTTTGAACATGTATTAATAAGATAACTCAAACGACCTAATAAACATTTATAAGGAAGGGTGTTCAAAAGCTCTTGTCTCCGCCGTCAAAAGAGGCGGTCGGACCGACACGATGGTTTTGTTCGACTCGCATTTTTTTAAAAAATGGTTCAACGTCTTTAGGTTGTTCGATAATCGGGATAGACCTAAAGGTGAGATTTTCGAAAGGTTCAAGGAGTCGCCACCAATGTTTTTACCAGAAACATTGGAAAAGGAAAAAAAGAAGACAGTGGTTTTTTTAAGAAAAACCAATTTGGTCATTACAATCAGCGTTAAGTAAGGGATTTAGTTACGTATAGGAAATGTATTAGCTTCCCTACAACGCCACTTTCGGGTTCCCTATGATGGACCATTTTTATAAAGATATAATAATTATAAATTGCGTTTTTATCCTTATTTATTTATTGCGAAAAATTAAATTATTGACTACATGACCCTAAATGATTAATGCACAACAATACTATCTAAAAAGCGATAAAGTAGAGAAGGGAGTATATAGGAACCTTCGAAGCAAGCTTTTATAGTAAATTCTTTGAAAAATGGGGCTTTTTGACAATCTCCACGCTTTACAATGATGATCGCTCTTCCTCACAACACTATAGAATGCTTTCTAAAAATATTAAGAAACTCTAGAAATGCTTCGAGAGGGGTCCTAGGAGAGTAATTTGAGAGAAGTACGAAAGGAAAAGTGGTAGAATGGTGTGTAAAGAGTGAGAAAGTCCCTCCCTTTTATAGGTCGGGATCGTCGTCTTGCATGACAAGGTCGGGACCGTCGTCTCGCCAAATGAGATGGCGGTCTCACCAAATGAGACGGCGGTCTCGCCATTAGTGAGTGGCGAGACGGCAATATCGCCAAACGAGACGTCTCGCCCTTAGCCAACGGCGAGACAACGGTCTCGCTAAACGAGACGGTGATCTCGACCCTTTAAGTGGAATTTCTTATTTTTCGTGTACAAAAATCTTTATTATTCTTATATGGGGCCTATTAATCAATTCTAGGGACCTTTTAGGCCTTGCCCATCTTCGAACGAAAGTCTTCTGCTCTTTATTTTGAGGTCAGGCAAGATTTGGGGTCTACAGCTCTTCTGCATAATTTTAACAAAGACGAAATGAACTATTCATAAGTGTATATGTCATTTTTAAACCTAATAAACAAGAATCATGTAATAATTCAAGATAATATTTTTTCACAATGAGATACCTATGTATGTGTAGGGTTGTACCCTTTAACTCAAGGAAGTACTTTAACAACCCAAGATCTTTGACTCGAAAGTTTGAGTAGAGAATTTATTTTAGTCATGCTCTAGCCATTAAATGATGTGAACATGATCTATGATAAGGGTTAGAGTAAGGGAAGCAAATGAAACTCTTCAACAAGTATTGTTGGTTGACCAAATTGTGTTTTGGATTAATCAATTAATGGACTTTAGTTTGGTTTTATTGCCAATTGTAATAAGGGCCCAATTGAAAATTTAGTTATCAGTCTTTGGGAGATCAAGAAGGTGTATAGCTGATTGACTTTTGGTTGCCACAATTTCAGTTACAATCAATCATTAAGTAGTTTTCAATTCCTAGGTTAATAAATCATTATTAGCATTTATTTTTCTTTAGTGAATCTTTGTAACTCTTATGACAAAGTTTCTTTATAAGTTGAACCATTTTTATCGAAATAGCAAGTTGAGTTTTATTTTTAGAAATATTAGAGTTTATCTCTTTTATCTTAGTGAGAGTGGTTCTCCTAAGTTCTTGAGTAATTCAAAAACTCATTGTCTATATCAAAGGACTTTCACATCCTTTGTGAGTTGTCTTCCTTGGGAAGAGTGATTTTTTCCTTCCATCTTATCACTAAATTCCTAAATTTCTTATAAAGTTCTAACCCTAAAAATCATAAATCGTCCCTTGTGATTCATATCACAATGAGATACATATGTATAAGTAGGTTTGTACCCTTTAACTCAAGGAAGTACTTTAACAACCTAAGATCTTTGACTTGAAAGTTTGAGTAGAGAATTCATTTGATATTTGATATTTCTTCAATGCTATTTTCGGTGAATAAATGTCATAAAGACATCACTAAGGTTGTAAAATTGCTCTCGTCTCTCTTATTAAAAAAGAAGATTATGATATGAGAAGCATAAGATAAGAGCAATACTAATAATTTCTTATATCACAAACAATTTACTTATTTAAATCCGTATAAGGATTTTAATAGTTTACAACATTGAGGAGGTTGAACATTTTCAATTCTAGGAAGCGTGGTCCAAGTACACCTCTTGGTTCAAGTCTCCATGAAGAAACACACATCTAATTTTTGAAGGTGTCATAGCTTAATAGAAGGCACATCAAGAATGATTCTTATGGTTGACATTTTCATAAAGGTTAACAAGTTTCAAGATAATGAATTCCCTTTGTTAGACCATATACCCTTTTGCAATCAATCAAGTTTTGTATTGCTTGACAATTCCATCAGAATTTTGCTTAATTTTGTAGTCTCATTTGCATCAAATGGGATGAATATTTGGGATGTCTCCACAATGTTCTAAGATTTGTTCAATTCAAGTACATTTATCTCATATCACATTGTCTCGCACCAATATTCATTTTGGATAATGTCTAGATATATAATTAGTTCAAATGACAAATTCATTAAACAATGATGATATGATGAAGAATCATGAGAATAAGACATGAGTGAGCTAAGAAAATACAAACATTTTGTTAACGATTGGATAAGAAAGGTATAATAATAATCACAAAGATGAACAAATGACTTATGTGTTTGAGTTGAACAATACCATGGCATGACAATTGAGACCGAAGAAGATTATCAAGTATATATATATATATATATATATATATATATATATATATATATATATATAACGATAATTATTTTTAAATATATAATTGTTGTTATAAAAAATCTTTAAAACTTTGATTAATTATGATTCAAGTGAAAAATCTAATTGTAACCTAATCCTAACCTATTTTTAATGGATTGTTAATTTATTCTAAATTTTAGAATTATTGAGCTAGGATCCAATTCTCTTATAATGTCAAATAAATATTTTTGTTCTTGTTATTTGAGATTTATGATGATAAATCTTAATTTTAAGCAAAACTTTTGAAATCACCTCTAAAAGAGAATATTATACAGTAACGGAATGGTTTGATCAGGTACGATGAAATCATTTATTTAGACACCATCGTAATATTATATTTAAATATAATAAATACTTTGATTTTATTCTTAATTTTTAATCCAAAATTCAAATTTATAAATGAATATATTCGAAAAAGTGAAAAAAAAATATTTTTCACTGTTTTTTTTATTTTCAATTTTTTTATCAATTTAAAATAATTTAAATAATAATATAATATTAATTTTTATTATTCATAATTTATTTTATAATTAGTCATAAAAAATAATTATTATAATTTAGGATATAAAATATATAAAAGATTCTCCCTATTTTAAGGATTTGTTTATTAACCAAGGATTCTATCATTAATTATTTTTCAAAAGATACATTATTTGATAAAAATTATTTTGTTATCAAGATATGGTTGAGTTTTGAATATTTTTAACTATTAATACCTATTATAAATAGCCTTCTCTAATGTTTTGGGCAATAATCATTCTGCATCATATCGGGGAGAGCAAGAGGCACTCATGCCCATTGTGATTCAGTTTTCTTTCAATCCAATCCTAAAATCTCCATCCTTACCTCTCCCAAATCTCCAATATCGGCTTCATTCCCCGTATCAGACTGCGAAGATTTCACTGTCTTTTAGTTTCTGCTGAAACCTTCAAGAGATAATGAGAGGAAATTTGAGTTCGATTTTGCCCTTCGACATCTCCAACAAGTAGGTTACATTACTTAGTTTACTTGGTTTTTGCTTTGGATAGGTTACATTACTTAGTTTACTTGATTTTTGCTTTGGATTTACAATGAGATTATTTATCGACGCTTCTTATATTACAATATTCTCTTTTGTTTTGTAACTTTCAAAAATTGATTTCATTGTTGAAATGATGGTTCTACTTTTAAATGAGAAATTATTTAAATTCTCAGGAATATCGATGTTGTGTCTGTGATATTCTGAACTATTGATTTTTTTTATTCTTTTGAAGAAATAGTTGTGATTCTTTTGAACAAGTTTTCATGATTTTTTTTTCTTGTGGCGACGACGTCATTCCTACAGTTCCTTGGAACTCGTTTTTGTGATGACCTGAAATTGCGACGCATGTCGTTTTTGTGATTTTTTGGAAGCATGACGCTCGTCATTTCTGCGACAGAGATTCCCTGAAGCGCGACACGCGTCGTTTATACGATTGTTAGAAGCGTGACGTGCGTTGTTTATGTGATTTCTGGAAGCGCGACGTGCATCGTTTATGCGATTCCTGAAAACACGACGCTGCATGTCGTTTTTGCGATTCTTGGAAACGCTGACGCGCGTCGTTTTTGCGATTCCTGGAAGTGCGACGCACGTCGTTTATGCGATTCCTGGAAGCGCGACGCGCGTCGTTTATGCGATTCCGGAAGCGCAATGCGCGTCGTTTCTGCGATTCCTGGAAGTGCGACGTGCGTCGTTTCTGCGATTCCTGGAAGTGCGACGTGCGTCGTTTATGCGATTCCTGGAAGCGCGACATGTGTCGTTTTTGCGATTCCTGGTAGCGTGACGCGCGTCGTTTGTGCGATTCTTGGAAACGCGATGTGCGTCGTTTCTGCGATTCCAGGAAGTACAATGTCGCGTCGCTTCTGCGATTCCGGAAGCGCGACATGTCGCGTCGTTTCTGCGATTCCAGGAAGCGCGATGTCGCGTCGTTTCTGCGATTCCAGGAAGCACAATGTGCGTCATTTCTGCAATTCCAGGAAGTACAATGTGCGTCGTTTCTGCGATTCCAGGAAGCGCAATATGTGTCGTTTCTGCAATTCCTGGAAGCGCGATGCGTGTCGTTTCTACGATTCCTGGAAGCGCGATGCGTGTCGTTTCTACGATTCTTGGAAGCGCGATGCGTGTCGTTTCTACGATTCCTGGAAGCGCGACGCGCGTCGTTTCTGTGATTCCTGGAAGCGCGACGCGCGTCGTTTATGTGATTCCTGGAAGCGCGACGTGCGTCGTTTCTGTGATTCCTGGAAGCGTCATTTTTGCGATTCTTGGAAGCGCGACGCGCTTCGTTTCTACGATTCTAGAAGCGTGACGTGCGTCATTTCTGCGATTCTTGGAAGCGTGACGTGCGTCGTTTCTGCGATTCTTGTAAGCGTGACGTGCGTCGTTTCTGCGATTCTTGGAAGCGTGACGTGCGTCGTTTCTGCGATTCCAGGAAGCGTGACGTGCGTCGTTGCTGCGATTCCAAGAAGCGCGATGTGCGTCGTTTCTGCGATTCCTGGAAGCGCGATGCGCGTCGTTTCTGTGATTCCTGGAAGCGCGATGCGCGTCGTTTCTGCGATTCCAGGAAGCACGATGTGCGTCGTTTCTGCAATTCCTGGAAGCGCGACGACGTCGTTTTTGCGATTCCTAGAAGCGCGACGACGTCGTTTCAGCGATTCCTAGAAGCACGACGACGTCGTTTCAGCGATTCCTAGAAGCACGACGACGTCGTTTCTACGATTCCTAGAAGCGCGATGACGACGTTTTTGCGATTCCTAGAAGTGCGACGACGTCGTTTCTGCGATTCCTAGAAGCGCAACGACGTCGTTTCTGCGATTCCTAGAAGCGCGATGACGTAGTTTCTGGGATTCCTAGAAGCGCGACGACGTAGTTTCTGGGATTCCTAGAAGTGCGACGACGTAGTTTCTGGGATTCCTAGAAGTGCGACGACGTAGTTTCTGGGCGATGCATGTCGTTTTTTATGACGCACGTTGTTTCTCATGATGCACGTGCATCGCACAGAAACGACGTGCGTCGTGCAGAAATGACGTGCGTCGCGCAGAAACAACATGCGTCCTGCAGAAACAACGTGCGTCGTGCAGAAATGACGTCGTCGCGCTTTCAGGAATCGCAGAAACGACGTTGTCGCGCTTCCAGGCATTGCAAAATGACGCGCATCATCAGCGTAGACGACGTCGTTTCGCGATTCTGGAAGCGTGACGACGAGTGAGGTTATTTTTCTTTAGAAGAGCACGCCATTTATGTAATTCTCGAGAAGAGTGACTGACATCATTTATACGATTCTCTATACTCTTCTCTTTTATTTTTAAGATTCTAAAAAAGTGAGGTCATTCCTCTTTAGAAGAGCATATAGTTTATGTAATTCTTGGGAAGAGTGATAGACATCATTTTTACTCTTATCTCTTCTTTATAGGATTAACTCTTTTCTCTTCTTTATCGGATTAACACTTCTCTTTTCTTTGTAGGATTTTCAAAAAAAGCTAATGTCGCTCTTCTTTAAAAGAGCACATAGTTTATGCTCTTCTCCTGAAGAGTGAAAGATATCATCTATACTCTTATCTCTTCTTTATAAGATTATAAAAAAAAAGCAATGTTGTTCTTCTCTAAAAGAGCACGATATTTATGCAATTCTCGAGAAAAGCTACATTGTTTATGCACTCGAGAAGAGTGACTCATTTATGTAATTCTAGAAAAGAGTTAAATTGGTTACGTGATTCTCTAGAAGAGTGACATCATTTGTATGATTCTTGCAAAGAATGACATCATTTATGCGATTTACTAGAAGAACAACATCATTTGTGCAATTGCTTAGATGAGTGATATCGTCCTACAATTACTTAGATGAGCGGCATCATTTATGCAATTTTCTAATGACAACTTTTTTGTGAATATCTCTAGATCGGTGATAACATTTTTGTAAATCTTTAGAACGGTGACATAGTTTTTATGAATCTCTATAGCAATGACATAGTTTTTATGAATGACATTTTTATGAATGACATAATTTATGCATGTATAAAAAAAATTTGTATAACAATGACATCTTCATTTTTAGCAAAAGTGATACTGATTTTTAACATATTTTTTAAACTTTTTTTTATTATTTTTTTCAAATATATGCTCTCATTATAATTTATTTTGAATTTAGAATACTCAATTTTTTTTAATGTTTTTATGTTCATGTTTTATTCTATTTTTATCTCATCATATTTGTTCAATATGTTTATTTTTATTATTTCGGCAATACACTGATAAAGATGTGTCATTTTCTTATAGTCACGCCACGAATGTTTTGCCTTCAGATGCCAGAAATGAAAAACAAGAGTTTGGGTTGAAAAAATTTGCTTTGGAAGCATGCGTCGAGTCATCCCATCGAAGACTTGGGAATCAAAAGCACAAGAGGGAGACACTTTTGAATCCTAATGCAAGATGTGTGGTATGTAGTCTATCAAATTCTATTGCACTACCTACTTATTGTCTAATATTTATTTTCTAACAATCTATCCAAGGTATTTATTTTTATTTTTATACAATCTTTTCACTAAAGAGTTGTTTTGAAAATTGAATTAGAAAGATTGGTTAGACCAATTTAAATAAAAATCGACTAGTGATTTATTCATTAATTTCATATTTTGAATCAATTTAAAACAATGTTCATAACTATTAAATAATTTTAAATTAGGTCTAAAATTGGTTGGATAGCACCCGAGTGAAGCTATAGGAAAAGTGAATTGTACAATATTGTACAAAAGTTTATCTTAATTAGAGTAATTACTTGATTTGGATGATATATTACTATTTATAATATATTTAATTTTATAATTTTAAAATGTTTAGATATTGTTAACGTTAAATTACAATATATATAATTTAGATAAATTTTCATTTTATAAATTATTTTTTATAAACTTAAATTACATACGTAATATGTTTTAATATATTTTAAATAAATAAATAATTCAACGATGGATATTTAGAAATGATGTTCGAGAGTACATAAAACAATTTCTGATAGAAATTATATTTTAAAAGACTTTTTTTAGGGTCTAAAATAATTGAGATCCTTTGATAATTATAATTATCTTTTTCTTATTGCAGAAGAGAAAATTTGACGGTGGTCATAACATTGCTACCAGAGAGAAATGTGTAGAAGAGAAAACACAATCTTGCAATAATGGTAGTCAATACTGTTCTCACTTAGATATTTTTGGTGGCTTTTTCGAAAGGTCAAAAGGACTCAAAAACCATCTTAAAGATTATAAAATGACTAAATCAACAAAGAAATTTTCAAAAATTAAAGAAAATTTTGACCATTCGAGTGAGATTTCATATTCTTCAAGCTTGGAAAATGAAGACATGAAACTCAATCAGTCACAAAACAACTTCTTCCCTAAGGATAATGAAATTCCAGTTATTCCCATTGGACCTCGTTTTCAAGCTGAAGTTGCCAAGTGGGAAGACACAACAAATGCAAGATATCAAGACAATGATGATGATTTGAAGTGGTTAGGTGTTCAAGTTTGGCCCATGTCTAACAATAATGAACACAATTCAAAAGGTATTGGGAATGGTAGACCTGATTCATGCTCCTGTGAATATTCAGGATCAGTTGAATGTGTTAAACTGCACATTAGTGAAGCAAGAGAATTCTTGAAATTGGAGATCGGTCCAACATTTTCAAGATGGAAGTTTGATGAGATTGGAGAAGAAGTTCCAGGGTCATGGACTTTAGAAGATGATAAAGAATTTGAATCTCTAGTAAAATCAAATCCATTGTTAAATGGTAAGAATTTTTGGAAGCTCGCCATGAAGTACTTTCCATCGAAATCTTTGAAATGCTTAATAAGTTACTATCATAATGTATACATCCCAAGACGTTTGAGCATGGAAACAAGATCTTCGTACGTAGTTGATAGTGACAATGACTAAGATCGCTCCTTTAAAAAATGAAGATTCTTCGACAGGTAATCATACTTCATATTATAATATTTTCATAAATGATATATTCATACTTAATGTTAATGTAATTAATTTTGATTTTTTTTACTTAGTATCATTGATATATATATAAAAAAATTATATTATCTAATGATACAATATCATGTTGGTTTTTTCTTTAGTACAAAAATATGAAAAATCAAACCAATATAAATTTTTATTAGTTTTTTTTCTTAAATTTGATCCAAAATATTACTGAACAACCCATAATAATCGGCATTTTATGTATTTTTAATTAAACTTGTCTGTGATCTTTTATTATAATTCATATGAGTTGCTTTATATTGTTTCAGCAAATGATGTAATTAATATACTTTTGAATTTATTTGAATGTTTGTATCTTTTTGTTTTTGTTTGTATTATTTAAATTAGATACATAATTATGATTTAGAATGATTTGGGTAAAGACTACATTTTGATGCATCATGTCTTTTTTACATTACAGGTAGGAGTTTATTATCACTTAAACGAAGATGAGGACTTTGAATTTGACACAGGTGAGAGTAGCCTCTAGGGTACAGAACATATGGTTTTCTCTAAGTAAACCCTTACACTCCATGTTACTTTTGTTATTGTAAGCTTTCATTTTGTATAAACTTACTATGGCAAGTTTTATAAGCACTTCTCTTTATTATCCAATATAACTAAAATTTTGCATTATGTGTACTCATTCTCATATTTCTCCTTATACGATTATAAGGTTAGTGATTCATATTATTTTTCCATCTTAAAAACTTATGTGAGTTAAGTGAATGTTCTATGCTTATTGTTTGATGTTCCTACTTATTAGTTATTTGATGTTCCTACTTATTAGTTATAGTTTTTATCTAGTGATAAATTCTTGATGCAATATATAGTATGAAAAAAAAACGTATTGTAAATATCAATTATCTTAATTTTAGATTATTATTTTTTAAGTAAAAAATAGTGTCTTAATAATTAAGTCTATATTTCACATTTTTTATTTATTCCACTTTTCACTTTTTTAATTTTTCAATTTATCAAATGAGTTCATTATATTTTTTTACGTTGACTTCTTGACATTTTTTTTAATCTATACTATCAATTTGATTTTTCCAATTTCTTGACAAATACAAAGTTAATTTTTTTTTCTTATTTATCTTTTTCTAAATATTCTACATTAGAAATTAATATTATTTTATTTCTAATTTACCTTTATTAGATTTTATTATATTATATTTTTTAGATTTTATTATTTTTATTTGTTATATATTAATTTTTTTAATAAAATAATTATATTTTGAAGAATTAAAAATAATTGATAATTAAAATTTTTATCATTTTAAACTAATTAAATAATAATTAATTTATTAAATATTTTCTCATAAATTATATATTTCATATTTTTAAATTTGATAACTTAAAAAATGATTAATTTATATATATATATATATATGTTTAAATATAGTATAATGTTATATAATAATAATAATAATAATAATAATAATAATATTATTATTATTATTATTATTATTATTATAATTATATATCCGTATAAAAAATGAATGAATATTTTTTTTACATATATATTTTAATATAAATATAATAAATTAAAATATATACTTAATTAATAATAATAATTAAAAATTATAAAATTATAAATATTTATTTTTGTATAAAAATAAATTAAAAAAAAAAGTGAAACAGGGACGAGGAAAGCTAAAATCTAACAGAAACGAGAATGAGATATAATTTCTAACATTAACAAGGGATAGGGGAGAAAACTGACTACTGGTCATCGTTAAGTGGAGGTAAGGATGTCAAAAAAACATGCTAGTTTGACCCGTCTCTAGCCCACAAAAATGGTATGAACTGATTTGTCAATAATTATTTTTATATATAAAAAATTTTATATGTATTTAAAAAAAATACATTTTTAATTATATGAATAATTTTAAAATTTTTATTTATTAATTCATATTTTATCAAATAAATTAAAAAAAATATATATATATATATATGTATTAAAATAACTAATTATAATTAATAATTTAAATTTAATTAATTTATTTTTATAATTTAAATTATAATATTATAATATATTTACATGTTTTAATAACATAACACATAAAATATTATATTTTTAATTATAATTCTTTTTATTTTTATTTTAATATATAAATATTTTTTTAAAACAGACCAACGGGTCATCCTGTCTCATCCTCTTTTCCGTCGACTTGGCGAGCTAAGTAGGATGGACAAAAATGGGCTAACAGGCCTAAACCAACCCACCTGTCATCTTCTAAACAGACCGATAGGTTATCCACCAAACTTAGTTCCTTTTGTTATACCTTAATAGAGGGGTCATGACTTTCTCAAAATTTTGTAACTTATATATACATCTATAATTTTGACTCTCTTAGATTTAATAATCATAGATATATTTATATATTTACAATTCTAATTATTCCTTTTTATATATATTCTTTCATTTTTTATTTATTAATAATATATTATTTACCTAATTTTGGTGAAATAATAGTAAAAATATTATTTTTTTATTAAAAAATTCTAGCAAATTTAATGGATTAGGTTAAATAAATTCATTAATAATTATAATTTCTATTTTAAAAAATAGCTTTAGTCATGATATAGGTTGTTATTATCGTTGAAAATTATAACGAATGTCACGAACGAGAAAACACAATAAAAAAAAAGTAAAAGATTAAAAATTAGACTTTTTTTTACGGATAATATTATTTTAAAAAATATTTTCTAAAATAGCACATCTGAAGCATTATTTATGAAAGTAGCACTATTTACTATTCACGTTTCTCTCGCTCAAGCGAGAAATGAATCGCTTGAGCGAGAGTACCTGAAACTTAAGGGTTTTGTGGGGTTTAAATTCGCTCGAGCGAAAAAATTCTCGCTCAAGCGAGACATCCTTCGCTTGAGCGAGGAGAGGTGAAACTAATGGGTAATCTCGGGTGTTTTTTCGCTCAAGTGATTGGGAATTTCGTTTGAACGAGCACTGATTGAAATATGTGGTGACCCAAGTTGCATTATGTGGCTAACTGCGTTGAACCTTTAGCCTGTGGTCAATTCTTGCTCAAGCGACGGGTAATTTCGCTCGAGCGAGAAGTGATTGGCTAACTTAAACGCATGTGGGCAATTCTCGCTCAAGCGAGGAACCCATCGCTTGAGCGAGAAAATTTATAATCAACTATAATTTAAACTAATCGATCATAATTTTAAAATAATCGAATATTTAAAATTATGACCGATTATTTTTCTCTCGCTCAAGCGAGAAATCCATCGCTTGAGCGAGGAGACCTGAAACTAATGAGTAATCTGTGGTCAATTCTCACTCAAGCGATGGGTAATTTCGCTCGAGCGAGAACTGATTGAAATATGTGGTGACTCAAGTTGCATTATGTGGCTAACTGTGTTGAAGCTTTAGCCTATGGTCAATTCTCGCTCAAGCGATGGATAATTTCGCTCGAGTGAGAACTGATTGAATTATGTGGTGATCCAAGTTACATTATGTGGCTAACTGCGTTGAAGCTTTAGCTTGTGGTCAGCTCTCACTCAAGCGAGAATTTCATCGCTTGAGCGAAGAAACCTGCAACTAATGGGTAATCTCGGGTGTTTTTTCGCTCAAGCGATGGGTAATTTCGCTCAAGCGATAGCTAATTGAAATAATTGTTTCATAAAACCTGCAAAGGCTTATCTAACTATTTTCGTATTCAAAAATTTGTCCTTGATAATTTTAAGTTATACACTCCTGGACTGCAAATTGCAACTTGTCAGCATATCTTCGATTCAGTCATGAACAAGATTGAACAACAAAAGGACTAAAGTGAAAGATATTAACAATTCATGCAACAAACTAGTATTCCTATTATGATTTTTTGCCAATATAGTTATCCTTATTGTAAGAACAAATGAGTCCATGAGTTACTACATTGTAGGTAATCCCCACTCTGCAAAGAAGAAGTTTTATTAATTGAAAAACTCCTAAGTTTCATACATTGGGGAATTTCTTAACTAACACAATCTAATGATGCGAAGTAGATGCACGTGCAACATTGGGGCATGTTCTTCTGCTATGACCAGGGGTATGACAATATGAACACATTTTAATCCTACTTTGATTTTCTATAATATCCATCTCAGTTCTTATACAACTTGATTTTAGTCGGCTCTTTGAAGTTCTTTTCATTTCTGGATCTGCACACAAAGTAGGTCCTATGTATGTTGGCCAATATTCTTCATTTTGCAACAACCCAAATTGTGTTTCGTATACCTTTGAAATTTGTTGTAAGGTATACACTGGATGAATGTAGTTGTTGAAGTCATAGTGTGCATGCTTGCATGTAGCAAGAACATGTGAACAAGGCATGTGAAACTTCTGGAATTTTCCCAAAGTCACACAACAACTCATCAAGGCGAACTGCAAACTTCCCTGCTGGTCGAACTTCACGCGGGTTTTGTGTTTCTTTACTACAAATTTTGTGCTAGATCTGTCAAAAGTTATGACCCTATACGTGTTTGCTTGTATTTGTGCTTTCTCCAAATTTGTAACTAAAATTTCAGAGTATACATGACCAACATTGATCATAGCATTTATCTGCCTCCCTCTTTCAATGAAAAATTTGTTGCAGCGGGTGTACGTTGCGTTGACCATGGAGCAAATAGGTAGATTTCTTGTTTTTTTTAAAACAGAGTTGATAGATTCTGCTATGTTGGTCGTCATGTGGCCCTAACGCCGTCCATTGTCCTATGCAAGTGTCCATTTTTCTCTAGGTATCTCATCCAACCAATTAGTTGCATTTATGTCACATTGTCTCAAGATGTTGTAATAATAGTAGAATCGTGGTTCAGTCATCCCATATGCTACAAAAATATTAAAAAATATATAGTTAATATAAATATTTATTAGCAATAGTTAAATAATGAATACATTGTAA